GGACGGCTGCTGGGTGGGAGCCGGGGCTGCCTCAGCGGCACGCAGACCTGCGAGCCTTTTTTCGGGAATGAAGTCTGGCGATGCCTGGGTTGGGCTTTGTGTGTAAAATCTGCATGGCGCTTGTTGTCGGTCCTGCCCATCATGGTGCTGATTCAGAGAGGTGCAGTTGTGTTATAGCTAAAACCCAACTTCTTATCTAGAATTTATTGTTGTTGTTATTGCTGTTCCTCTGAGGTAGGCATGGATGGGCAGCAGCCCTGGCAAATAGCACTCTGGAACATGAGAGTGCCCGTCAGTTCAGAACACGCAAATACAACACTGAGGTAAATGATCTTTTTCAGTCTTTTGTAGATGAAGAAAGAAAATAAAGGGAGAAAATTCTACGGATTTTGGGGATCATAGGTTTGCAGTCCTTCATACTTGATAGGAAAACAAGGAAGCATTTTCATTGTAGTGCTTTTCGGGTAATGCACTCCGCAGATTGTGTACCTGTTCAAACACATCTTTATTTGCACAGGAATTTTAATGGGTGGTGCTTCTCTGGGATGTGAATCTACTATCTCTTCTAGACAAAACATGACTTGATGCCAGCTTTATGATATTACCACCCCTTACTTGCCACCCCTTTGCAATCTTAAAACCAGGAATGGTGACCATGCACAAAGGAGATCTGCCAGCACACGTCTGTATTAGGCCAATTCTCATTGCTCCTATTTGGGGGTTTCAGCTTGCAGTTTGTCTCTATGAACTAAGATATGCAGATATAGAAATGCATGGAGGTCTTGCTTGTATATTCCGTGCCTTGCTACCACTTCTATTTCTTTCGACTATCGCAAGTGCAAAGGAAGATTTTTCTTCCAGCAGCAATGACACCTTGATCATTCTTGAATGATATAGGTGCTCATGAAGTGCTTTAGAGTTGGTCAGCTTGACTTGTTGGAACAGTCAGAGCTGACCTAGTGGCCTATTTTAAGCCCTTGGAATAAAGTCTCAGTGCAGAAAGACTTGGATGTTTGCAGGATTGAAGATTGCAAACCACATATCAGCAATTGCAGATCGCTACCTGGCATATTTCTGTGGGTGCTGTGGTATCTGTTCCTCATCTCTTAATTCATTTTGCAACAGGCTGCAGTGACTCAAATGCCAGATCTTCCCCAGACAGCCAAAATCTCTGCACTGTGAAAGCTGGGCACTAAAGATACGATGCAGGCAGTCCACCTACAGTTGTTGCAGGAAAAGGTTAGAGAATATTCTTATCTTCTCTGGTTTTGGGGAGTGAGTTTGGAGGAGGTGGTGATGCTGAGGGAGGGTGAAGTTAATTTCTGCTGTGGAGGAGTTGGCATCTGAAACATTGAGAAACAGCTCTAAGAGATGCACTGCTATTACAGGAAAGCTGGGTCTGGAATTTGGAGCTTGGAACCTCCCTTGTCTTCCTCAAACTTATCAGTGATTGCATAACATACAAGGCTAGAAACGTCAATGGTATCTTAAAATAGGGGCTTAAAGGCCTGCATGCCTGAGTTTCTCTGTTTTGTATCTTGTTCTCAGTGAGCAAATGTATGCCTGTCCACACCATCTGCTGCAGAACTGTCAGCTGAAGGAGGCAGAGTAGGTAACCAAGGAAGCGTTGCTGTTGAAATGCTTTTGGAGGAAAGACACAGAGTGAGCTGTGGGAGATAGGAGTTGGATATACTGTGTTTCTGCCCATGGTGGTGTCTGGACTGTTCCTTCAGTTAGCTCTTGCACTTAATTTCTTAACACCGGCATCTGCATTTTGCATGGATTCCTCCTTTGGCCGTTAACTATGTCTTTGACTTGGTCAGCAGTGCCCTCTTCTCAGCTCTTTTGTTCAGGGACTGATGCAACTGCAGTGTGAATAGCAGGAACTCCTGACCCTTTACCTTCTCTATCTAGCCTTTACTGGAGTCTGTTCCAGCTTGCTGCCTGTCTTTAACCTGCTTCTCCTCTCTATTTCCCTCCCTAAGCTATTAGCTTTCCAAAATTGCTGTCTTTATTCTTCGCTTAATGCTTTGTTTCTCCCCCCCCTTATTCCTTCTTTCTACCTGTAAAACCCTTCTCCTACCTCTTAGAAATCTTGTCTTGGTATCCTGCCTCTGTCCATCCAGGATTTCTATGGACAGTATTACTATAACATCCCTTCTCCAGTTCGTTCAATGAGTGTCCTTCAAGTTCCTTCCCTAGAGCTTTTCAGCCCCAATATACTGTCTTTCACAATTCACATAATTTCAGGATTATCTTCCTGTTCCTTTTCTCCTGCTTATATTTTCCAGACTTTCTTGCCTTTCCTTTTGTTACCTTCTAAATCAGGAGCTTGCTCCTACTACTTGTCCTTCACAACTTGTGTTGCTCTCTTTTTAGTTCTTTCTGTTTAAGTCCTTTCTGTCCTCTCCCTGAAGTGCTGGTATTACTTCCAAGTCCACAATTCACAGTATTGCAAGCGTATATAGACTTTAGCAGGGCAAGACTCAGTCTGTGCATGGAGTACTTTAAGTTCATGAACGCAAGATGTGGTTTCATGATTCTGATGGCTTACTGCCAACAAGAGAAGAAATCCTGTGTATTTTCATGTCTTTTCTGTGCCAGCTCCCAGGCTACCCAAGTTTTTCAGTGATCTCTTTTTCTGGGAAATAAACTAGCAGGAAACTTACTTATTTTCACTTTTTTTTAGAGAATTTGTTTTCTGCTGGCTTCACTCTCTGAAGAGGCAGGGTCAGGTGCATGTTAACATCACTGGGAGGAAGGGACCACATCACCTATTGGATCTATTCCATATTTATTTTATTTGTAATTGTGAGCAGATTGTATAGATGGTGTTTAGAGAGTTTAAATCAATATAAACACTTTTTTTGTCGTTGTTCCTTCTTAAAAGGAAATCTTTCAATGTGAAAGGAAAATGACAGAGGAGTTTTCTGGGAATGAAAATATTTTCCAAAATGCCAGAATTTTCTACAGAAATGAGACTCAGAGACTGCACATTTCAGTTAATTCCTTCTGGATGTCCAAGTAAATGCAATCCTAGAGCCCTGATTCTGGGAGTATGTTGGTGCTTGCCCAGTTTTACATTCATGAGTGGCCCCTAACTTCAAGGGGGTTAAATGTGTGCATAAAATTAAGCCTACAGACCAGAGCTGCCAGGTTTAGAGCCAGCCTTGTCACAATCTGTATACTGGCCTAGGCTAACAGCCCAGCTGTTGCTGGAGGATGGTTCAGGTGATTGTGTCCTCACTTAGTTAGAGGAATATTTCTTCTGCTGTTTTGTGTATTTATTTTTATTTTCCTTCCGCACTGCTTTTTTTTCTTGCCTTCCACATCTGTGTCTGCATTGAGCTGCTTTTTTTCTGCTGGGCCTGTTTAGCCTGGAGAAGATCAAGAGGGGATCTTACCAGTATGTATAAATACCTGACGGGAGAGTGTAGGGAGGATGGGGCCAAACTCTTCTGGGTGGTGACCAGTGACAGGCCAAGGGGTAATGGGTGCAAGTTGAAACACAGGAAGTTCCATCTCCATGTGAGGAAGAACCTCTCTCCTGTGGGGGTGCCCGAGCCCTGGCACAGGCTGCCCAGAGAGGCTATGGAGGCTCCTTTTCTGGGTGCCCCCCGGGCTCTGGGTGTCCCTGCTGGAGCAGGGGGGTTGGACTGGATGATCTCTAGAGGTCCCTTCCAACCTCAACCCTTCCGTGATTCTGTGGTTGGTTTGTTGTACCTCCTCCTATCCATTTAAATCTAGTCTGTAAATGCAGGAATGTTCAAGTCAAGGTTAAGAATAGAGCATAAGTGTATTTGCCTTCTTATAGTCTTACATGTGTCCTGCTCTGGGACAGGAAAAAATGAAAAGTAGTTTCTCTTTCGACTGCATTAAAACCACAGAGGAGAGTAGCTAGAAATTTTAGCTTCTGCTCATGGTGCTGTTCCATGACTCTTGTTTTTATTTACTCCTCTGCTGCTACCCTCGTAGCTGTGCACTCAGGGTAAGCCTAACAGTTGGCTCCCTCCCTAATGGGTGGGTATAGCAGCTGGCAGTTATTATGCAAAAGAAAGCCGTTTAGGTAGAAAACTTTGTTTCTGCTTCCTGGGAACGATCCCCTGATGTCCTGCTGTTGGTCTGTCCTGCTATATCAACAGCCAATGGAAAATAAAGGGTGCACTTCTTGTTCAACTATTTTGATTTACTTGCAAGTTAGTGATCTAGTAAGTCTTTGTTAAAGGTATCACAGTTCTGGATAGTTACCCCTTCCTTCCTTAAAAACTAATACTGCACAAAAGAAATAAAATTTCTAAACAGTTGCTGCCGTCTTTGCAAAAATTGCTCAAATCTGGCCGTTAGGAGCTAATCAACAAATCTCATGCTTTAAGAGAGAGTTTGTTGATTTAGAAAAAACATTGAATGTAGTGCCAAGAAGTTTGTATATATTTTGAGTAAGACTAGTTTTTTTGTTCCCTGAAACAAAATAATAAAACAAAATATGAACCTGTTGGCACTGTAAATCAAATCAGTGAGTCCAGGCAATGCCAGTGCCTAATGCAATTGAGGAATCCTAATAGAGTCCTATTAGAGTGGTTAATCTGACTTGACATAGAGTCAAGCAAACTCAGTAAGACTAGTGCAAGGTGATACTGCGCAGTCTAGCCAGCAAATAAATGTGAATATTATAAATGGCTGCAGCTAGTTTACACAGATTTGTGCTGCTGACTGTGGCTATGTTTAAACTGCTTCTAAATCCATTATTCCTAGTGGAATATCATAAAACTGGTGCTTTCAAGGACTTTCATGGCAATCAGAATTTTTACCTGGGGATTCGTAATACTTTTCCCTGTCCTCCCTTGCTGTTCGGCCTCAGAACTCTTAAGGTTGCTGGAAGGTACTAGTTTTCTTATGGCACCAGCACGTTTGCTCATTTCCAGTCAATTTAGTGGCAATCCTTCTGCAAGGACTTGTTGTTTTCTTTTGGCTACTGGTGAGGTTTTTATAGTTTATTTATTATTTTTCTCCCTCCGTTCCTTCCTTCCAAGCAAATCCTAGTAGCTGAAGTTGAAAGGCTTTTATTCTGGCAACAAAACAGTCATTAATGTAAGACCCTTTAGACTGTTCATTAACCAGAAGTCCATTCAACTTTACGTAATTCATCAGGAGATATTTATTGCAAATAAAATAACACTGAAACACTGTTGCTAGGGAGATCAAAAATGGTCTTTTGAATTTAAATACATTGAAAGTATTTTATCAGTGCAGTCTTTTGCATGTTTTCCCCTGATGTGATCTCCATTTATACTTGTGTAATTATTTCCATCTTCTATGGTATGATGCTGTTCTGAGGTGTCTGAGGGAAATTATGATTTTCCCTTGAGGTCAGGGCCTTGCTTCTTTATATGTAGTGTTCCTGGAAGCCATGGAATTCAGTGTTAGGGAAGTACAAACCTGGAGGATTAACAAGGAGGAATTCCTTGTTCTCTCAGTACTACTTTTACATTGTTAATAATTTGTTAATATTTTTGAGGTTGGTATTTGCCTCTTTGCTGATAGCTGCTCATCAAGGAAGAATAAAGAGTGCAGAAAAGGATCGTAGGATCATCTTTTGTAATAAAATTGGAAGGACTTAGGCTTTCTCTGCCTAGCCAATTCAAAGTCAGCTTTCAGTGCTATTGATTAGGGTGGTAAGTGATAGGGTCATGGAAGAAAAGGTATTGAAACTGATGTTGACTGTAAACTGAGCAGCTACGAATAAATCGAGACAGGAAAAAGAAAAGGAAAAAGTTTGACTGTCAGGGCACCAGCATGCTCTAAGAGCCTCCTTCTTGTAGTAAGGAGATTGTTTGTTGTATGTCTATTAGGAGGAACAGGTTTTGATACTGTGATACCATGCTGAAAGCAGCCTGGAGAGAAGATGCATTTCAGCATGATGTTCCTCAGACCATGTTTTGTTCAGCCCCGCTCTGTCTGTGGTGGAACAGTGCATTGCTTGTACCTTGGGCACTTGGGGAAAGGACATACCTCTGTCTCAGTCAGTGAGCCAAAGGCAGAAACTGTCCCAGCTGGTAGCTGAGCAGCCAAGTCTGCCTTTTCAGTTCGTGAAGGAATAGAAATGGAGAGTGCTGAAGAGAATAGTCTGCCTAGCACATTGTGTTTTGGAAACACTTTCAAATTCTCACCGGTTTTCTGAATGAAGCATGATTTCACTGTCTCCTCCGTGCCTGGAGGGAAGAGAATCCAAAACCCTTTGGTTTTCTGTCTACAGTCTTAATGCTTAAGCTGTTCAGCCACAAAATCTGTAACATAGTGGTATGAATTTTAGCATGACTGAGCTCTGTTGAAAACCATCAAAGTGTTACATAAGCTTCTGCTATTCCCCACTGCAGGCACCTACTTCTGGTGCCTGGCTCCTTCCTTAGCATATATAACCTGGCACTTGCTGCATATGCTTTTTGTGCTATAGATAGTCCCTTTTTCTCTTCTGAGCAGCTGCATCTTGCTTTTTAATATATGTGCTCTGGTAGCAGATGTCTTTTTTAGGCTTTGGAGGCTTTTGCTTTGAAAGGCAGTACTTTTTCTACCTTTCCGAATATCTTTTTTGAAAAATCTTTGTGGACTGAGGGCTGAGGTTGACATCAGGAAAACAGCAACACAAAGAGCATTATCCTGTTGGGTAGAGCAGCAGGTCTCCAGCAGGTCTTTGCTGATGTGCTTTGCAGGCTCGACTAGGTGCATCTACTTTCTGTTTCTCCAGGCTAATTGTGCACAGTAAGTTGGAAGGGAATGCAGACAACAGGGTGGATTAAAAACTGGCTGAATGGCAGAGCTGAAAGGATTGTGATTGATCTGTGGTGCAAAGTCTAGTTGTAGTTCAACAAAGGAAAAATGAAAAGTCTTCACCTGAGGAGGAATAATCCTTGCATCGGTACAGATTGGGGGTCAATTGGCTGGAAAGCAGCTCCGCAGAAAAGGACCGGGGATTCTGGTGGGCAACAAGGTGACCATGAGCCACAGTGTGCCCTTGTGGACAAAGGTGGCCAACAGAATCCTGTGCTGCAGTAGGGAGAGCGTTGCCAGCCAGCTGGGGGAAGTGATCCTTTCCTGCCTCACACTGTGAGGCTGCATTTGGAGTGATGGGTCCAGTTCTGGGATCCACAGTGTAAGAGTTTTGGACATGCTGGAGCAAGTTTAGGAAAAGGCTACTTACATGATTAAGGGAATGGAGCATCTCTCACATGAGGAAAAGCTGAGATAACTGGGACTGTTTAGCCTAGCAAATAGAAGGCTTGGAGGGGGAGATATTTATAAATATCGCTACTATCTGAAGGGTGAGTATAATGAAAACAGAGAGAGACTCTTCTTAGGGGTGCTCCATGTGTGGTATGTGGGTAGTTGTTGTGGTGTATGGTTTTTGTGGTGGTGGTTTTCAATGAGGATGACCGAGCACTGGAACGGAACCTCCAGAGGTGTTGTGGAGTCTCCTTCCTTAGAGATATTCAAAAACTGTCTGCACACAGTCCTGGGAAATCTGTTCTAGGTGAACCTGCTTGAGCAGGGAGCTTGTACTTGGATCATCTCCGAAGGCCCCTTCCAATTTCAACCATTCTGTGACTCCATGATACTTGAATCTTACTGCTTGTTGAAACGGAGTTCTAATTAAACTCGCTCACACAGGGTGGAGATGCTAGTGAATTGTTACCTACTTGATTTGCCTAGTTTGTGATACTCTAAAAGAAATCTCTTTAATAATAGTTGCTACTATCACCTGAGTAGAAAGCTCTGCAGAGTACAGTGTCTGCTTCTGATGCTCAGACATCCTCTTTATCCCATCCAGTTGCTACTGATGACAAATGTGCATTGACTGAGCTGCCTAAAGGAGCATGGCTCTCATGGTGAATGCAATCAGTAAGTAATGATCTCTCTTGGGCCTTAAGCATCCTTGAATACTTAGGCATCTCTAGGGACTCTGATTAGAGATAGGTCAAACCTGTGTCTCAATCTTCTGTTTGGGGCTTCACAGGTTAAGTGAAAATCAGCTTGTGCTGTTTGCTGTCTTGCATTGTGTTGTTTAGAGATCCGTGCTCTTTCTGGCTGGACTTATTTTAAAGTTATTACTGAGTAACAGGACTGTTTTGTAGAAATTTTAAAAATTTCTTGACTTGAAACCAGTTTTTCTGTCCCAGCTGGAAAAACTGAAGCAACTTGCCTAATCCTAAAAATAGAAGACATCAGATTATGTTCTGGTATCAAAGAAGAAAGAGAGGAAGGAGATGGGATGAAACTGACCAGAGCTAAAAGGAAAAATCAAAAGTACTTGGGGGTTGGGGACGAGAGCAAAAGCCAGAGTCAGAAAGACTCTGATAAGATATATAATGAAAAGAGCAGTTATCAATGCCAGCAGATACTGCACAGGCATAGTGTGCATTCTTTAATGTTTATAAGCATTAAATAGAGAAGATCAAGAGGGGATCACAAATACCTGAGGGGAGAATGTAAAGAGGATGGGGCCAAACTCTTCTCAGTGGTGACCAGTGACAGGACAAGGAGTAATGGGTACAACTGAAACACAGGTAGTTTCATGTAGTTCATATACTTTGCTATGTAGTTCTGCAAAGGCTGCAGTTCTGAAGGATGAAGAAATTGTTTTGATGTATGATCTCAGAATATCAGTTGCATGCAGGGTAAGCATTTCAGTTCTAAAGCTAGAGCAATATAGGTAAACACTGGAAGTGATGGAAAGAAAAGAAATACGAGTTAGTGAGATAATGAAATGTGCCCTTTGGATTTTTTGGTTTGTTTGTTCATTTCCAATTGGTGTAAAACTAAACAAATGCTTTCTTCTGTGCTAGCTGGTGGCATATATTCTGTATGGTGCATTTTGCCTTTTAAGTTCCTACCGTGTTGTTTAATGCCTAGAAGGTATCCTCTTTTCTTTGGAGTTTTGTGCCTTCTAACACAAGTGAGAATTTGGGCAAAAATGGTCTTCAGAGTGAAGAACAGGTTTTAGGAGCCTGGCTAAGGCTCAGACAGGTTTAGGTCTGGCTAAGTTAGATAGCTTGAGATCATTTTGTTCAAGGTATGTAATTTATGTGAATTTTTTCATTAATGTAATTTTTTATTCTTTAAGCCTGGAGCAGATGCGGATATTCTGCTGGGTTAATGTGAATCTGTCTGTATTTCCAGCTGGCCCGCGCGGATTCAGTGGTTCGCAGTGGCACATGCAGAACGCCCTCAGTGACTCGGTGGAGAGCTCCGATGATGAATTCTTTGATGCGCGAGGTCAGTTCAAGATTTGTCCTCCTTTCCCCATTCTTCTCCCAGTTCTGCTGCGAATCAAGAAGCAACTCATGAAAAATTAAAGACCTAAGCAATTTACAAATTCACAATATCCTTAAAATATTTTGCAACAGAAGTTGCTAGAAGCAGTAGCGGTAGAGCCCATAGCAGCTGTGCATCAGCAGAGGCCTATGGGAATGAGTGGGTATGTGCTGATTCCGGCAGCTGCTTAATCCATTGAGAAGGAAGAAAAAACTGACAAAAGCTGATCCTATGCTTAGTTGTCAGTGAGGCTGCCCCTTTGCACTGACAGAAATTGAGAGGAACAAAAAGAAACAAATTAATCCAATTAAGAGAAGACTCTGACCATGTATTTCTGTGTTTTTAATGAGTGACATACAACCTACTATATTTGCTCAGAACCATTTAAAGAAGTATCTCTCTTCCCTGTATTTCTCCCTTCAGACACCTCATTATTTTTTGTGTCTTCATATGGTCTTGGGGAGTGTGATGTGAACTAAATACAAGTTTCTTTATTGACAACAAATAATGTTGACATCCTTAGCAGTGGATTTTTACATCTAAGACTGAGCTTTAACATCCCTTGTGTTTTTTTGTTTTATTTTTTGACATCACAGGATTTTCTTAGAAGAAAGTAATTCTATTTGTCCCTTCAGCTGTCGAACAAGAGGATGTTCACATGAGAACTTGCTGATTCCCTTTTAAGATAGGGACAAGTACATACAGGTGGTGTAATTGGCAGTGCCAAGTGGGAATTGCCTACAGGCTCCTCCATTACTATCAGCCAGCTAAGCTTATCTGTCAGACAGGAATATGTGCCGCTAAACGCAGGCCTGAAAGCCAAGCCATACATCCGTCGTAGCACAGTGCCTGCTCAGTTTATCTGCTACATGGATCACTAACTCCTTGATACACGGTAGTCATCTGGTTGTGATCACTACAGGTGTCATAAATAATGAAGATCTGCCAGCTGCTGTTGGGTAGGCAATGAAAAGAAACTTGGATATGCCTGCAAGCTGTAGTAATGAGGGGGAAATTTTGTGCCTTCCTGATACAGATGATTTTGTGCCTGCTGCAAGTGAGGTCAATGATGTGGAATTGTAACAATCCTATCATGTTTCTAGGGCTATGACTTTTCTAGAAAATTAAGTTAGAGAAAGTCCTGTGAATACTAACCTGTTTTATGTTCCCATTAGGGATCATAGTAACCTGCTTATTTCTTTGATAATTGACTAGCATGAAATGCTAATTCTATTGTTTGTCACTGCAACTTTTTCCATTTTCCTTTTTTTTTTTTTTTTCTTTTTTCCTGCAGAGGAGATGGTGGAAGGAAAAAATGCCATTCTCATAGGCATGAGCCAGTGGAACTCAAATGACCTTGTTGAGCAGATAGAAACAATCGGGAAGCTGGAGGAAAATCAAGGTAGTATTTAGCTTGCCTTGTTAATTTAAAGTTAACAAGGAAATCTGAAAGCTAAAGCAATCTGTCATCTGATTTTTTTTTTAATTAAAATACTCAATAAAAGTACCATTTACAGTGTCCCATAGCTAAAAGATATATAGTGATATTTTAATATCATTATGAGATATTTTAGTATCTGAAAAATGAGTTAGAATAATCTAGTTTTTTATTCCAGGAAGGATCTTCTTCTCTGGCAGACCAGGTAATATCATTGATTAATTGACTTCAATGGGACTGTACCAGACTCAGAACTCAACAGCCGTGAGACAGATAACAGGGCAGGCACCAATGGTTTGTGTATTTCCTGTGATCAACATATGCAAGAGGCTTTTTTTTTGTCAAGGTCACTGAGTTAATTTGCTACTCACAGTCAGTTCCTGGTACTTCTAAACTGTAAAGTTCTCTTTTAATGTCAGCAAATGCTTCCCTGAAATTTTCAGAGGGACCGTTCTTAAGTATTTTGGGCCAGCATTATTACTTACATTACTTACATTATTAAGCATAGTTACTAGTTAAGTAACTATTTGCCATTGAAATGGATGGGAAATGGGCACTGGTATGCCAGTAATAATCTAGGACCTACACCAGGATCCTAAGCAGTCTGCTGTAGTTGTCCCTTTGGTACCTAGATTACATAATCATGTGAAAATGAAAATGACCTCTTCGACTTTTAGGAGAAGGAGAGACTTAACTTACTTGTTCACCTGTGGTATGGGGCCTGTGTGTGGTGATCCTTGTTAATGAATCCTTGCTAATGCTGTTTAAAGAATTTGATTTGTTTGCCTATTTTAAGAAGCTTTTGAGAATGCTTTTTTTATGATTAGCATACATTATTAATGTTTGAAAGGTTGTAGTTGTCAGTTTATTTTCATACTCTTGTCAGGATAAGTATTCAAAAATAAAATCTGTGGTCCTCTGAAGAAGATGTAGCAAAGAGAATACTGAATTTGAAGCATAAAACGTATATTTTTAAAATTCCCTACTTGAATAGTATCTTCACTTCTGGCTATAGAGACTTACATTTTAGTGAGCTAACCAGGCAAATACTTATTTCTGTAAAAATATGCCATTCAATCCAACTTAATTAATGGCATGTGTCAGCATTTCGGTCAAAGAGTAAAATTCTGGGGATATAAATCTCATTCATGGAGTTGGCATTACCCCGAGGTCAACGTATGCAAGCGTTTCTCGTCAAAGCATAAGCTTTCTCATGGTCCTGTTTTCCTAGATGAAGAAAGTGAACTTTGTTTCTCTTTTGCCCTGGTCCTCTTCCCACTGAGAAGAACGACTGAACTTCCGTTAGCTTGGAGGACGCTGTTCCTGCTAAATTGTGATGAGCTGTTTCATACCATTTTCAGGCTACTGAGATTCTGCTCTTTAAGAAACAAAAACAAATCTGTGAATGCTGTAGCTGCAATTAATTGCACTATCATTAATTGGTTTATCTTAGATGAGGGTGTGGCCCAAATGTATGAGCAATTTTGCCTCTGGAAGCTCTTACAAAGAGTAAGTGTATATAGGTAGGCACCGGAGAAGAACACTAAATTGAACATGTACTTGAGAGCTGGAAAGTGCTATAGGGAGATAATGCGGCATTACCATTTTTTTTTCCTCTTCTTTTTTTTTCAGCATTACCATTTTTTTTCCTCTTCTTTTTTTTTTTCTCCTCTCTCACACAAATTAAAGTGGCAGGGAATGCAGAAACATTTGGAGCAAATATGGAGCTCTGTGCTTCTTTAAATAGATAATAAGTGCTTGTCATTGCAGTTGGAGATTAGCAGTCCTGCTGTGATGCAGACCTCGTATGCAGACAATGGGGCAAACTGCTCTTTGCTCTTCGTTTTAACATGTTTTCTCCCTCATGTTCCAATTTATTTCCTAAAGAGAGGAAGGAGCATGGAGTTGTCAAAGTATAGACAAAGCATTTCAATGTCAGCATGCCTGTTCATTTTCAGCTGACCAGCATCGCACATTCAGGAGCATGAACCAGCTTCGTGCACATCAAAGTGCAGTGAGAAAAAGGTAGCTGTGTTCTCCAGCTCTGTTAGATCAGGCAGCCCTTCCTGAGTCAGTAACTTCTATCCTGGGAAATGTTCCTTGACCTTTGCCTTTCTAACTGGTGAGCAGAAGCAGACAGTGTTGTCTATTGCCACAGACAGATATGGTTAAACTTGTGCAAGCCTACAGTGCATCTTCTCAGACATCTGTTTCAATACTGGAACAAATGAAGTATTCTAGCTTTGTATTTTTTCTTCTGTTGAGTTTGTGCTTTGTTTATGGCTCTCTGTTTTTTCCGCCTGTATACCGTGAGTTGTTAACCAGAACTGGACAACTCTGGTTCTGGTCTTCTGATCCTAAATGCCAGGGAGGTCTCCTCTAGGCAAGAGGTGCTAAAATACTTACTTTTTGCCACACTGCCTCCTTTCACTGAAAGATGATGACGCAGGTGGCTGGGAAGGAGAGGGGTCTTGTGGACTTGTTCCAAATGTGTAGAACAGCAAGGAAAATAATTTCCTCTGCTGTTTTCCTGTGTATTATCGGGGAAAAACATTAAATGATTGAGGTGTTGGCCTAATGATGACCCAGCTGATATCAGCAAAGGTATATATCCTTTTAATGGGCACAGTAATGTTCCTTTCGCTGCAGTCTTGATTCTGGTTCCTGGTACAGCATGATATTTGAGTAAGGATTGACCTGGCCATGGCAGACTGGGAAAGGCAACTGTGTTAGAATGTAGTGGCTTTTTAGCATTTCCTTTTTATTGTTTGCTTTCTCCAAATGCTTGTGAAAAATGAAGTTTCTGGATGGCTTAAACATTTAGATACTGGTGTCCCAGTGCAAGCATTATAATTGCATGTTACAGTTAATTGGTAGAGATTTTTGTTTTGCTGAACTCTGTGCTACCCTCTCCCTGCTAATACTGTCTCTTCTGCGTATGGGCAAGAATAGTGCATACATAATAAAATATCACTTTCCAGAAAAAAAATGGTGATCAACTTTCAAGGTATCCAAACCTGAGCTCATTAAGGACTGTGCTGTCTTGTTATCATTACCCGCTACCACCTATTCCTTTCCATTACTACTACAGGCTGTTTGTTCTGGCTTAGTTGTACTTTTCAGCACAGATGATTCTTTTGAACTAAAGGAGCCTCACTTGTCTACTGATACTGAATTATATATATATTTTTTCCTTGGTCAGAAGCTTAGTTTTTTTTATTCACTATTGTTTAGCTTTGTGCTTTTCATAAAACAGAAGCAACCTGAGAAAACCCTTAGAACACATCAATTTCCAAGCTGTTTTGTAGTTCTTATGCAAGTGATTCTTAGGAGATTTTTGTCCACAGCCAAGGAACTCAAATGTGGAAAGAGCTTATCTATCTAGGTGGCTGGCCAGCATAATGGACCTCTTTTGGCCTTTAGCTGCTGTGATGACAGCCCAACACGCCAAAAAGTCAGGCCAGACAATAGTCATATGCAGTCATTGAAAGCCCCAAAGGGATCCAGGAAGGAGACAGGGATCCGGGATCAGGGACCCGGGATCGGGGATCCGGGAAGGGGGATCCAGTATCCGGGAAAGGGGATCCGGGAAGGGGGATCCGGGAAGGGGACAGGGATCCGTTCTTGATTTTCTTTTGCCAGTCTGTATTGTCATACTGTTTTTAATTGCTCGGTGGATGATGTGTTAGGAGTGCATTGTTTGTAATAGGTCTGTGTGCTGACATTGACATGAGTTGAAAGGCAACTTTTGTCTTTAGTGAGGGGTGGGAGGTTTCCTGAAGCTTATCTTGGAATGCAGGGAGAGTGCTGTGTCTTTCTGGTCTGTGAATAGCTTTCTTCCATGAAAGTTCTGCTTAGAAGCTTAAAGAGATGTGAAAAAAGCTCTCCAGAGAGATAGGTGTGTGTGTGCAAGTGGGAGAATCGAGATGATTTATTTTAGATTATGTAATAAAATCACAATAGGAGATGACTTGCAGTAATGTGACTTCATTGGGTAATTGTAGGATAATAAATAACTGGTATGGGGTAACAGGTAACTGGTATATTCTTACATGTTTGGTCAATATTTCTTGTGGGAAAAATACATATTTTTAAGACATACAATAGAATTATACAACCATTTTCAGAAGCAATCTGTGGTTTCTGCTGCTTTTGATTGCTTCTTCTTGCATTTCCTGTGCTTCCTAGGAGCACACAATTTCTAGCTTTCACTAAAAGATGTGCTTAATTTCTGAAAGCAAATATGTTTCAGGATACAATTTTAGTGCTTTTTAAAATGGCAATGGGTGATTTTTCTTGTTCTGAATGTTCTTACAGTTATATTGCAAGAAAACCATGAAATTACTGAATACAAATAATGAATCCTTGACCTCAGTATATAAAGGAAAAATAAAGCTGTCGGGTTTTGTGTCTCAAAGGACTGTGTTGTATGACAGAAGGTATGTTGACTTCAATGTTTTAAGTAAAGGATGCTGATTAATAGCTCATTTGGAAAGCAGTCACGTTTTATCACTGTTCTGCTTCATAAAGAGTTTATTGGGAATGTGTGGAATTATCTGTTCTCTTATGCACATTTGCTTTGCACTCTGATGAAAATAACTTGAAATAATGTTTCCTTGAGGAGTTTAGCCTGGTCTGGGGCCTGACCAAGTGCTTCAGAGGACTGAGCATCTAGAAAGTCTTACAAAATTTTAGCTACATGAATGCCAACGGTTAAAATTAACCATCTGAGGTCATCTTGTGACCTCATAGAAACAAGTGAAGTGTTCTTCTTGCCTATTCTTTCCTATCACCTTAACCAATTCATCCTCTTCATCACTGATTAGCTGCTGGCTGGATGTTCCAGCAAGTAGATGAATGACTCCACAGATTGTAGGGTTCAAACTTACAACTTATTGATGGAGGCTAATCTGTTTTGGTAGACGTGGCTTTTGTTCAAGGGATGGAAAAGATGGCTACGTTAT